CATGAGTCAACTCGATTACATATGAGAAGAATTATATTGTCTTTAAGATTAAGTTTAAATATTTACTCCAAATCTTAGACAAATTTAATCTTCAATTTAGTAATTTTTGAATTAAACTCTCAAATGTATCTCTTGAAAGTTGTATAGGTTTTGAATTAGTAGATTTCGAAGATAAAGTTAAATTTCAATATGATAACTTTTATTTTATTTTAATATTTTATTTAAAAAAATATATTTATTTAAAATGTCAAATATACTAATATATATATATATATATATATATATATATATATATATATATATATATATATATATATATATATATATATATATATATATATATATATATATATATATATATATATATATATTAAAAAATAGCTTTTAAGTCCGTGAATCATGTGAGTTGAACCTAATGAGATGAACCTAACGAGTTGAACCGAACTGCTCGTGAACTTATAACGAGTCGAGTTTGAGCTTAAAAAAAAGTTCGTGTCGAACTCGAGCTCGAACTCGAACCAATTCTTAATGAGTCGAGCCGAGCTGAGGTGAGTTCGACTCGACTCGACTCATTTCCAGCCCTAGTTGGATATAAAACTTAGTGCTCTAATTTATGTTGGGATCAGAATACTTGTGGGGATGTGGTTTTTTCTCCTGGAAGTGATCTAGAAAAGATTGAGAATATTGTTCTAGAGTATGTTACGTATGTCAAGCCGAGTGTGCATGACATCTTGCATATCCAAGGAGGTATAACTTGTGTGGATTCGTAAGGCCATTTGTCATATATGTTCTGGGTGGGTGAATAGCTTAGGGTGTCAGGATGTATTCTCAAGGAGCTATGGTATCTGGATATATACGAATCAGGATTGATTTTACAGTGTTTGAATGAGTTTAGCAGGTATGTTGAACCATGAGTTTAAAGCTACTGCTTTTCTCTGTATAAATATGTAGTTATTCAAGTGATTTCATCTGATGATCGAATGAGAACTATCTATCTATGACAGGGGGTTTAAGTCCTTGTCCATGGATTATTGCTGCAGTGGTTCAGTCTTTATAGTTATTGGGGATCAAGCAATTTATGTATCTCTTGGGAGGTTGTGAGATGTCAGACTGGATAGTCGGATACCATGTGCAGTTTGTCAGCTGAGTCTTTGAAACATGATGATTCTGATTCATTTTTTGGGTTTGGCTCTGATTGATGTGTTATGAGTTTAAATGTGTGCATCTGAGTTTATATGTGTGTACATTTACTCCAATTTTTTGTCAATTTTTGGCTAAAAAGGGGGAGTAAAGTATTAATGTTATCTGTTGTCCTGATGTTATGTCACATGTATTGACATGATGACCAACATCGTTATAGGACTTTGCTACTGCTAAGGAAAGAGTAGGGTGTTGTTGTTGCTTGTTGAATGCAACTATTAAGGGGGAGCATGATAGTCTGTAAGGCTAGATGTATTTGAGAAAACTACTGCTGTTATTGCTCTGATAAGTCTATATCTCAAGATTTATCATGGTTTAGTTGTTTTAGCCAATCATAGAATCACGGAACTAACACCATTGTTCATTAATTTTTTGTAGATGCAATTTACCGAGGTCAGTCGGGAGATATGGGATGTTTTGATGCATTTTAAAATGTAGTTTGACACGGTCACTGTGGTGCATCTCCATAATGGTGAATCTGATGATCGACACACATGCATTTGAAACGAATGCATCTTCTTCTCTGACTTCATGTTGATGTTTCATGTTTAGATATGGATGCCGAATGAGTTGTAGAGGAGAAAAAGATTAGATCATAAAATGGGTGATATTAAAAATAAATTAATTCATTTAGTGGCATGACATCTGCAGGTGTAAGGTGATCAAAGAGATTGTGGTATTGAATGATACAATGTCTAGAACATCTATTATAAGTCATACAACAAGATGACCATCTAAATTAAAAAGTTTAAATAAATTAGTTAGAGACAATAATCAGTAATGTGAATTAACTAATATGAAGTTATTAACTTACTTTTGTGCATACGGGAATGAGAAGCTGTTGTGGTTGACGAGCGCTAGGGATGACAATCTAGACCAATCCCATGCTTGGAGAAAAACGGTGCATCCATATAGATGTGTTTTTCATTACATTTTTACACAAAGAGTTATAGAAATAAGACAACGGGACATGGTTTGGCACAACGATAAGATGCGAAGAAAGAAAACATGTTGCCCAAAGAGCACGCGTATAAGAACATAAATGTATACAGGTGATAAAATGATAAGATTATGTAGTATATATGGTCAGCCTGGACACAATTGAAAAAATTGTCTTAATCTTCGAGCAACCTCTGCATCATAATTTAGTTTCTCCTTTTAATTGTTGTAACCTTATATTTTGATATATTAGTAACTTTTTGTTACAACAATTTTAACAACAAGCATCACCCTTACTTAAACACACATAAAAAAACAACACATACAACAGATATCAAAACAAATAAACATACTTAACCACAAAATTTAAACACAATTTTTCTAATTGATTACAACAATCAAACTGATATTATTTGGTCCAAACATCACTTCTCTCGCATCCTTGCCAATCTTAACTCGCATCCACCCACGCAGGATATTGTGTCTCTCAATACTTCTAATTTTTTTCCTTCATGTATGTCTCTGTCTAACCAACGATTCAACCCCCTCTATAGTTGCTTGAGACTTTGGATGTTCTAGAATAGCATCTCCATTGGAGGCTTGTCTCTCGAATAAATTATTTTTCCGTAGCGGCGACGATACATGTTATCACTAATACAAGAATATGAGAATATACACTACGCCAAAAATTGTTTTTAATAGCGCTTTTTTTCACCTTTAATAACGCTATAAAAGCCTCCGGTATTATAGATTTGATACATATAATAGCGCTTTGAAAACGCTATTAAAATGAGTGCTTTTAATAGCACTTCATTATAAATACTATCATTGCCCTGTTCCGCGCTACCATACACCTTGTTTATGAAATGATTTAATAGCGTTTTTTGAAGAAGTGCTATTATAGTCCTTGTAATTAATAGCGCTTTTTGTAGAAGTGTTATTATAGTCCTTGTATTTAATAGCGTTTTTTCTAAAAGTGTTATTGTAGACACTATCTTTAATAGCAATTTCTAGAAAAGCGATATTAATGCCCTTTATTTATTCTTTTAAGAAAATGAGATTTTATAACTCAATACTACAATAAAAAATCACACATTTTAAGAAAAATTAAAATATCGATAATATGACACATAAGACATGGTCAATTAATTTGTATTCAAAATAACTTCAAATAATAGAAATGAATTATATAAATGTTTGAAGTCGGTTATGACACCGACTAAATCAATCACAAACAATTTGAACTGATTATAATTTGCTTTATTCCTTGTCTAAACAAACAACAAGCATATTTTTACTCACACGAAACTTCCAACAACAATACAATTTGCTCCTGCTGATGAAGCTGGGTCTATGGCTGAAGGCCCTAATCCACCATGAACCTACAATGAAAATTGGACATTGTCTCGGTCACTATAAAATAATATAATATTATCACTAATGGAGTATACTACAAAATTTTTAACACAAGTATTTCATCACCTCCATGAATACAATAATTGGACAGTTTAATAAAAAAGAAAATTTTGTTTTAGTCAAGATCTTATATAAGAAGTGATAGAAGAAAATTTTTAAACATTTGGGTTTTACTCTGTCCTGCAAATATATATGTATCAACACAAAAATCATAGAATTGCATGAAGGTTCTAGTTTAAGACATAAACAGATACATTAGCAAGTATATAATCAAATCATCAAATGTTATGATGAAAAAACTAGTGATTACAATTTCAAGAATTTCTACCAACTCACCATCATTAATACCTTGATTCTTGAAGCATTGTTAGAATAAGAAAAATATACAAATGCCAATCTCATTATGTCTAATAATATTTTTCCATTCTCATGTATACAATATAACTGCCGCAAACTGGACCTACAAGATAAACACATTAAAGCATTTAGAAAGAAATTATACCTCTTAATTCATAATATAAAGACGACCATCGACAACAGTGTACTCGATGAAAGTACGAGCAACATATTCCACTGTGTTTCCACTGCCAACAATCACATCCCTGCAAATAATCAAGAGGGGAATGAAAATGGGGTGGGATAAAGATGTTTTAACTTTCACTCCCATCTCAGACTGGAGTGGCAAACCTATGTGAGGTGGACTGAAAGAAACTTATGTTACAATTGCAAACTTTTTGTATTTTTATTGTACAATGCAAATATCAAGAGATTTCCCATCACTTTCAACCTACACAATTCGCATATACTGTATAATGCATAGCTCAAAACAATCAACTACAAGACTTCGTAGACTAGTGAGAAAACTCCCTATATAAATCATATAAAGAGAACAATATACCTTTCCATCTTAAACCAAACCCATACAATTTAGTAACCTAAGAACCTAAGTAGAATTTCATAACAATCTGAAAATGAAATTAAAAAAAGTTATGAGAGATAGAGTGAAAGTAATACCTAATAATTTCATCTTTAAACTTCTTATAGAACTCATTGATATTTCCAACGGTATCATATTGTTATTCTACTGCATCATGATTATAGAAGCATTGGTTAAAAAGAAATCGAAGATAAAACATAGTGCAATCGTCTTATTTTTTGTTCTTCATATTTTTCTAATAAACAACACAATCTCTAAAATTAGCTTGGGAGAAATACAAAAACATGAAAGAAAAAATAGAATATTAACTATTTAATCATAAAGTTTATAATATTTATATGAACTAAGCATCATGCCACTCCATGAAACATTCACATGAATATATATATATATATATATATATATATATATATATATATATATATATATATATATATATATATATATATATATATATATATATATATATATATATATATATATATATATATATATATATATATATATATCATATATCTTGGAGGCATGCATCTGCGGTGGATCGGTTCAACGCAGTGGAAGTCTTTGAACCGGACGGCCGCTGTAAATGGTTGTTGATGAAGTCTCTGGCCAACATGAGCTTTTCAATATTAATGTTGGTTTTCACACCAATTCCATTCAGCATGTAGACAACATCTTTAGTAGCAACATTTCCTATTGCTCCCTTAGCATATGGACACCCACCAAGACCAGCAACTGAGGAATACAATATACTAATTCCCATCTATATAAATACAAATTAATTATTGATTGCTTCCATTTATTTCCTTAGTAGAATCATCGGCACATCGATAAAAGCTTCGACATATACGAAGAATCGCAAGCAAGTAAAAAGGAAAAGCTATAAGTTGATGACTTACTTGAAGGGAAACAAGAATGTTCAAAAGGGATTGGCCATAAGTGTCATGGAAGTGGACATCAATATTCTCTATTGGAACAACTGCTATTACAGCCACCAACATAGGGACAACGGTTCCTAAACACGATAGAATGAAAATCGAACAATACAAATCATATTCATCAAACCAACAAATTCTAAGAAAAATCCATCTGATCACTTACCTTGTGTGCCAACTCCAGTTATGTCACCAAGAGAAATTTCAAAGCAACCCATGTCATATAATTCTTTAGAAACATATGCGACTTTCGAGGGAGGCGTTGGTCCATCCACCGGGCATCCAATGACACATGATATATACCTATCACATTTGAAAATAGATAAACTAATTGGAATGTTGAGAGTATTTTGAAAAGGTAAAAGTCGTACCCTCGCACAGGAACTGAGAGTTCTTTAGTAGCACGAGTAACAACTTGATAACGAGTGTTGCTATTGCGAAAAAGGACGGCGGAAGACAGAAGAGTCACCACCGTTCGTTATTTTTTTGAGAGGGAAAGGAAACGATCAGAGAAAACCTACGAAAAAAGGGAGAAGACAGGTCATCGCAACCAAATCTTGGGTTCGTGAGTCGGGTAAGCAACGGGAAGGTATGAGCATCCCTCACGTCCGTTGTACTCAACGGGATCCATGCTTGTTGTCTATCTAAAAGGGTGTTAATCTATCAAAGGTTGGCTCACAGGGACAAAAGAAAAGAAAAGAGACTCGATAGAGCATCGCAGCTCTATGCCAACGTATTCCCTCGTGCAATGGGAAAGTCAGAGTCAACGTAGTTCGGAAAACTACGGGTGAAGGTGGGGGAAGGTTGCTCGCCAAGACATCGTTGTCTTGTGCCTATGTATCCTCATCTGGTATGAGAAATCAGAGCAAACGTAGTTTGGGCTGACATGACCACAGATTGGTTCAAGTGTTTTAATTGAGTAGGGTTAAACCTTCGTTCTAGTAGTTAGGGACGATACTTGTTTGCGGTAGAACCAAAGCTTAACACACTCTTTTTGAAAATTATTTTAAATTAATCCCGAAGGATAAAAAGGTTTGATGTTTTATTTTCTGTTTTTTATGAAGAAGTGAATTGAGTTAAGTTTGTAACTTATGTTGCATTAAATACTATGACTTGAGAGCGAATGCGTCGCATATCGCCCAAAGGGCATACACTAAACACTCTAGACAAGGTGAGACAAAGCCCCCCACTCATCATTCCTCAAGTACTTAAGACTCGTAGCGTAAAATATTTATTATCCTTTTTTAGGTGTCTTAAGATGTTATGGGATGAGAAGAGAAGACACAAACTCTAAGGGGAAACTAATCAACCCTAATGTTGTCATGCATAATGATCCTAAAGTTGGGATTAGAAGAGGGATGAAACTATCCTAATGTTAGCATGCTTGGATTGAACACCTAATGTCTCTCCTACTCCCATCTTAAACAGAGGGACTAGGAATCCTAAGGGATCACGGCAAAAGATCAAGCAAACACTAAGCAATTCAATCACATAATGAAAAGAAATGAAAGATGAAATGCAAACACAAAAGATGCAAGGATGAGATGAAATGGGCGAAGCAAGCTCCTACAACCATTACCATCAATCATCAAAGAAGAGTGGGATGAAAAAGTGTGGGGCATTCACCACCACAAGCACATCTCAACCAAGGAATTCTTTAAACTCAAGCAAAAAAAATGATCATCACTTGAACAACATCCACAAAATATGCATTCAAGTAGAAACCACGCGTTACATGTCGAAGAATCGAGATTAAATAATCACAAACAGTGAAACATGTCCAAAACAACCCACATAAATGCATCATATCAATCCATGAAGATTCAAAGTGGGAAGCAATCAAAACATGCTTGAAAATAACCAAATATGGCATTTTGGTTCAGTGTTAATCGGTTAACACTATTGGTTAACCGGTTATCCATTTAAAAAAAATTGAAATTCGCACTGGTTAACCGATTACCAGTTTATACTGGAACTTGTTAACCGATTAACACTGCACCAGAAGCAGAAAAACAACAGTCCAAAAGCACTTTCAGCAATTAATCCAATGTGGAATCATCCAAATGATCATGTAATCAATTATGCACGAATTTAACACCAAAAATCAGTAATCCAACAACATGCAAACACATTCAACCATTGAAATCACAAATCACATAGATAAAAATCAACAAAATCAATCAAAACTTGAAGATCTACATGGTGATTATGCAAATAAGCTCAAAAAACAGAATCAGATCTAGAATTTCCAACCTACAAAATGGAGATTTTCTTTAGTGAGTGTTGATTCACTTGAAATGAGTAGATCCAAGAAAGAAACCCATAGATTCTTAAATATCCAAGAGCTTTATTGTTGTAGAAGTGAAGATCAAGCAAAATCAAGAAAAAATAATCCAAATAGGCACTTCCAAATCAGCTTCCAAATTCAGATCCAAATCCAAACGAACTTTGAATGATGAATTGAAGATAATAGAGATGAAGGATGGATGTTTAGCTGTAGAATTCAATGATTCCAATGAAAAATCAAAGAACTTAAGTGAGAGCCCTAATGGAGGTTTTGGAGTGAATTAAATTGAGAGAAAATTTCAAGAGTGAGAATGAATTCTGAAAATGAAATAAGATTATGAGGATTTATTGTGTGAGGTTTGGAGCAAATTCACTTAAATATGCTCTAGGTTAGGAGTAGCATGTGGTTTGGAGTGTGGTTGTGAAAATTGGAATGAGATTAGGAATGGAAAATTGGAGGGAATTTGAATTGATTTTGAAAACTAATCAAAATTAGAGTTATTCTAGATCCTTCTTCTGGTGTAAAATCAAATTCACAAGTGATCAAAATGGACCCCAAAAGTAGCCATATTGCAAACTCACGTGCAGAGGCAAAACTTGCTATGGTTAACCGGTTAACCATTTTGGTTAATCGATTAACGCCTTTGAAACTTCAAATTTGTTCTGATTTTGCTATGGTTAACCGGTTAACCATATTGGTTATCAATTAACCACTCATAAATTTGAATTTTGGCGCCTTCTGGAAGGAATCATGCACAATTGCCCGTTTTCACCCGTTCTGAGCCCTGTTAAGCCTCTGAAACTTGCCCTTGAATATCATAACCGTGGAAATGCTCGAGATAGCCTGAGTGTTGTCTCATGAGCTGAAAATTATCCTACAAAATAAAATAAAATCGACCGTTCGATCGTTGGCAAAATAAATGCCAGAGCTTCTAATGCTCGCTGCTTGAACTCTTGCACCAAACAAAGAACCCTGAGCCACAGAAATACATTGATCCCCTGCCTCAAGAATAAATGCTATGATATGCGAAAATGCTAAAATGAAAATGAAACATAAGCCAAGTACAAGAAATGGTTAGTCAAATTTTGGGGTATAACAGTTGCCCCTATTCAAACGACTTGGACCTGAAGAGGTGAAGAGTGAACGACTTTCAAACATTCAAGGTAAAAGACGGTTGAATACCAAAGAACCCGGAAATTTTCCAACCGCAAAACAGAACTTGCAGAATCACCTACCAAAGTAGAATCACCAGAGGAAACTGTATCTGAATGTTGTAAGGACAATGAGCTAACTCATTACCAATTAGAAAACATCGACACGCAGTCGGAGGAAACATCAGCTAACGCACAGGCAATGACACTAAGTCTGTAAGAACATCTGATTTCACCATCAGGCATCTGTTAAACAAACCAGGCAATCAACCCGAAGGTCTGCTCAACACAAAGTTGAGAACATCTGCTAACCAAAGCAGGCATCGAATCCGAAGGCCGGCTCAACACGAAGTCGAGAACATCTTCTAACCAAAGCAGACGTCGAACCCGAAGGCCGGCTCAACACGAAGTTGAGAACATCTGCTAACCAAAGTAGGCATCGAACCCGAAGGCCAACTCAACACAAAGTTGAGGACATTTGCTAACCAAAGAAGGCATCGAACCTGAAGGCCGACTCAACACGAAGTTGAGATCTACTAACCAACAAGCCTCTGTTAAATAAAAACAGGAAGAGAACCCGAAGGCCAGCTCAACACGAAGTTGAGAACATCTGCTAACCAGCAGGCATCCGCAAAATAAAAGCGGGCATCAAACTCGAAGGCCGGCTCAACACGAAGTTGAGAAGAGAATTTGTAGATTCACAATCTGTAAGAAGAATTCCGTTGGAGGAATTAGGAACTTAAATAAGTAAACTCTGTTGGGGAGAAAGTGATAAGATGAACACATCTGTCAAAGATCTTGTTGTGGCCTGAATACCACAATGGCTCTAGAAAATACACCACTGTCTGCTGGAGACACAACTGGAAACAAGAGGTAACAATCTGGCTTATGTTTTGAATGCACATGTTTGAATATGGTGTAATGCTCCATATGAAATAGAAATGCTACGCGTTTGGGAGAATGCTATGCACAATGAAAATGCAAAGGAATCACTCCAGCAAAATAAATGCTGAAGGAAAAAACGAACTCCATTAGGGATAGCTGGGTGCCAAGTATGATTGGACTTATGCTGGGAGAAATAAGCCATGGATGGCTTCCTATAAAAGGACTCTCCTGGGTAACACTGCTCTGATGAGAACAAAATCCACTCCACCGGGGATCAAATCAACTCTGCTGAGGAAAACACCCTGGATGGCCTACCAGAATACAACTCTTCTGGGGAACAAAAGACTCGGATGGGGAAATGCCCTGGATGGCCTTCCAGAATACAACATTATGGGGAATAGACGACTCTACTGAGGAAGCAAAGCCAACTGCTGAGATTGAATTCTACTGGGGAAATCAGCCCTGAATGGCCTCCTAGAACCTTGAAATTCCTCTAGGGTACAAAGTAAACAACTGAGGAAAAGCTATACTCCGTCGGAAATTCCGCTCTACTGGAGATCAAACTTGCTATCCGCTAGGGATAATGAATAAGATTTACTGGGAATCTATCCCAAACTTTTCTCTACTGAGGATGGAAAACATTATCTGGGACGCTCCCACTCTCCGGGGAAGAAAACCTACTCCGACGACTCCACTGGGGATTAGGCAATGAGGGAATCATCATCAACCTCTGCTTGGGGAAAAATGAGAAATGAAACTCAACAATATTCCCCTCCTCCTGGGAATGAGTCAATGACCTAGACTCTGAGGGGAAAGGAGTCAAAGATTTAGACTCTGTGGGGAAACCAAAACTCTGAACTCGCTTTGCTGTTGGGGGACAAGATATATGCATTTG